TCCCCATTGCTAACCAGAATCTATCAGTGTCTGGTGACCTGCTGAAATTTAGGCAGGATGTGATGGCCTTTGCCTGTGTACCTAAAGCTACCATCCTAGTTAGACTGCAGGCTTTCGGGGTGCTGCCTCTTGGCTGGGATGATGGTAGACTCTCAGGGTTACCTGCATGTTCTAGATCTGTATTAGATAATATTTACCTCTAATACCACTGATTCATTGTGGACTTTTTTCCTCCATATGTTCATACATTTACTCATCCAGTACATTTCAACTCTTTTTTCCCATGATCCTCTTCTCATGCAGATTTCCTAGTCTTCCTTTTTTTAAAGTTCAATTTAGAGATTTCAATAATATTGGACCAAATTTATAAGTGGATGGAGTGTCCATAGCATGACTTAAAGCGTTCTGGCAATGCCCTTTGTGGAACTGAGGCAGGGTTTTATTTATTCATTTATGTTTTTGTAAAATATTGGCCCCTGAATTCCCTTTTTGAAAATGCAAATAAGCACAGGGTACATAGGCCGATGACTCTCTCTCTTCCAATGTGAATATTTTTAGTGCCAGTGAATAAAGTTAGGAATCTTAGAAGGCAAAGATTTACCTGGGGATACTGAGGGCCACGTTGGGAAACACTGAAAACTTTGGATCCAAGACCTGGCCAATTCTCTCTCCATCAGTCATTACTGATAGATTATTCTCTGCTACGCGGGCAATAAGTTAACCCAGGTTCCATCTAGGTGGGAGATAAGAGCCAGCTGGGAATGGGGTCCTTCCAGAAAGGCAAAATGCAATGGGTAGCACCAGTCACTCTCAGCCTTCAGATTTCTTCTTCCAGGACCAGCAGGAGGCAAGAGGATGCTGACGGCTGCAGAAGGCTGGCCTCGTAGTGTCTATCATGCCTGATCTGGCCGTACTGGTCGTTACATGTTAAAATGCTCTTCATGACTAGTAAATAGTGACCTGAGTGCCTGCCCTTGTACCCCTGCCACCCTACAGGACTTCATGGACCATCCCCCATCCCACCCCATATCCAGCCACTAAAGGGTTAATGTTTGGCTCAATTGGGATGGAGGCCTTGCAAATTGTTAAAGATTTTGAATATTATTCCCCGGAAGAACTGTGCAGAAGCGGGAGGAAGGCAAACTTCATGGCTCCTCATGTTACAGACCCTTTCTGCTCTCTGGCTATTTCCCATCATGGAGATATGGCTTTGGTACCAGGCCATGGGGTATTTCCCACACTCAAGACAGGGCAGGGAGGTTTCAGGACCGTCATTTACAAGGATGCCCTCTGCTAGTCCCAGACTGTGGTGAGGGCGTGCTGTCACGCGGGGGAGAGAAACTTGCTGCATACGGCATCCTGGGGTGCGGGGAGATGACGTTTGCCCTCCTTCCTGTATACTCCCTTTAGAAAACACGTGAATTTACCCTGTCCTCCTCAGAACATCATCACTCATAAAGGAAGCCAGCGATCAACGAGTAATTTGGGGAGCACACTAAGCATCAGAGCCCCAGACAGCTTTCAGAAATATGTGGAAGGGCAGTTTTTAAATGCTTCATAAACAGGAAAATCAGTCTCTAAGATCTTCCCTTGTAAAGAAATTCCTCAGGACTTACAAAATCAGGCCACATTAAGACATTTTTGCTGTCTTCCAAAGCAACATAGGCTTAGCCAGATAGATTCGCTGAAAAATATTCTGAATATTGCAAAGCAATCTGACCTTGTGTGATCCTGCCTCCAATAATGAACGGCATTAAATAAGAGACATTTTCCTGGAAATTAAAACCACGATAAGATATCACTGCATGCCTGTTAAGATTGCTATCATCAAGAAGACAAGAGATAACAAGTATTAGTGGGAATCCTTGTACACTGTTCATGGGAATGTAAATTGGTGCAGCCACTATGGAAAACAGTATGGAGGTTCCTCAAAAAATGAGAAATAGAACTACCATATGACACAGCAATTCCAATTTTGGGTATATATCTGAAGGAAACAAAACCACTATCCTGAAGAGATACAGACACCCTCATGTTCAATGCAACATTATTTACAATAGCCAAGACATGTAAGCAACTTAAGTGTACATTGAAGGACGAATGGGTAAAGAAGATGTGGTATACATATACGATGGAATAGTATTCAGCCATAAAAAAGAAGGAAATCCTTCCATTTGCGACAGCATGGATGGACCTTGAGGGCATTATGCTAAGGGAAATAAGTCAGGCAGAGAAAGACAAATACTGTATGATTTCATTTACATGTGGAATCTAAAAGAACCAACTTCAGAGAAACAGATCAGATCTGTGGTTGCCAGAGGTGGGGGCTGGGGTACAGGGTTGGGGGTGGAGGAATTGAGTGAAGGTAGTCAAAATGTACAACTTCCAGTTACAAGATAAAACTCGGGGTGTATAATGTACAGCAGGATGACTACAGTTCAGAATACTGTATTGTACATTTGACAGTTGCTAGGAAAGTAATCTTAAAAGTTCTTATCACAAGGAAAAGTGTGTAATATGTGGGGTAATGGATGTTAACTTACTATGGTAAACTTTTTGCAATATATACACGTACCAAATCATTAAGTTGTATACCATAAACTTATAAAATGCTATCTGTCAATTCTATTTCAATAAAACTGGAAAAAAGAGACATTTCTCACTAATATAAATTGAATGCCATACAGTACAGTTATATATTCCTATTATAGTAAATATTTTAAAATATTAATAATAGTAATTATTAATAATAATACAAGGAACAATCTTAAGCAGATATATAGATATTCCTATATAGATAATCCTTTCATTTTCACCATCTACCTATGAGGTCAGAGCTCTCATCGTCCTCATCATATAAATGAGGAAACTGGGGCACAAAGAGGTTAAGTAACTTGCCCAAGATCACACAACCAGTAAATGGTGGAGTACTGCTTGGCTGTTGTATTGTTCCTAGCTGTCCCCACCCAGAGGTAACTGTTTTTAATAATCAAAGGGACTAAGTGAACAAAGGGTGATGCCTACTACAACAGAAGCCCCAGTGTTCACCTCAGGCTGCCACCGCCAACACTCCCAGCCACCCTCTTCTTTAAGAGCGCTCTGAAAGTTTTCTTCCCACGAGAATTCCAGACTTGAAGATATGCTTCCTTTTGAATCACCATAGAAAGCAGTCTGGCTGCCTCAGTGTTTTTTTTAACCTTAAAAATAACATGGTTATGCAGCCTTAAGTATTTAAACATTTAAATCTGGGGCTGCTGTGCTTAAGACTGCTTAAAATCTTGGTGAAATCACTCCAGCCTGGGTTACACTAATTGACCTGAGACTTGCACCTGTCCCTCCCACCAGGGTCCCTCCCACCCACACATTCTTGTCTGCTACGAGTCATCTTTTCCCCTCAAAACCAGAGGCTTCTGTTGGTGCAAAAGCCTCTTTCTTTCCAGAATCCTTGCCACAGGGATCCACATCCTGACCGAGTTTTGCATTCATCCATTTATCATCTCTTTAAAGTGTTGTTTGAAACCATTTCTCCCTTTTGCTCAAGTCTAGCGCTCTAGGAGGCTTCAGTTTCTGTCCTACACACAGATTTGAGTCGCCTTGCACTGTATGCTAAATGCTGGATTTCCAGAGATAAAGTGAAGACAAGCTCTAGCCTGGAGATGCTCACCATCTACTTTCCTCTGCTGGGCCTGCCATGGAAGAACTGAGATGCGGGGAATGGAAGAAGCTGTGGCAGTGGAGCAGCGCTCGCTTCAAACGCACCTGCCTTTACAGCGCGTGCTCTGATTGTGCATGAAGTCAGGGCATGTGCTAGAACTAGACTTGCAAGAGCTAATGTTTTTTTTTCATTTGGATATTACTTTGTTTGGTCTTTTCCTGGTTTGGGGGCCAGGGAATAGAAACTGATAGACAAGCACATATCATTTGGGCACGGCAGGTGATGGCGGGTTATCCCAGGCCCTGCACTATTTGGGGATGCTGGCCAGAGCTATGTGGTGGCCCCAGGTGACGATGATGGGGAGGAGATCCTTACTGATCTTGTGCTGGGCACATAGAGGTGTGTCCTATAAATGGTAGCTAAAAGAATAAAATAAAGGTAGGTGCCACTCTTTTTTTTTTTTTTTTGCGGTACGCGGGCCTCTCACTGTTGTGGCCTCTCCCGTTGCGGAGCACAGGCTCCGGACACACAGGCTCAGCGGCCATGGCTCACGGGCCCAGCCGCTCCGCGGCATGTGGGATCTTCCCGGACCGGGGCACGAACCCGTGTCCCCTGCATCGGCAGGCGGACTCTCAACCACTGCGCCACCAGGGAAGCCCGGTGCCACTCTTTATTGTTAAAAATAAAGAGGCCTCAGGCACTTTCTCAGATGGACTGACTAGTTGCTAAGACCAAGGTGGCTTTGGAAGAGTATCAGCTGGTGCAACTCAACAAGTGTGTGTGCGTGTGTGTGCACACGTGCACATGTGCCACACATGCACACACACATGCATGTGTATTTATTACACGTCAAGTAACACTCATCATTTACAGTATTCTGCTGATCCTTCCTAGGCACTGCATCCAGAGCAGCCCCTTCAGCTGCTCCACCCAAAATGGTGTGTCCATTGGCAAACCGTAACGCATACTGACTCCTAATGACTCATGATTTTATTGATCATGTTAGTTTCTTTTTTTTTGCATTATGTGGGCCTCTCCCTGCTGTGGCCTCTCCCGTTGCAGAGCACAGGCTCCGGACGCGCAGGCCCAGCGGCCATGGCTCACGGGCCCAGCCGCTCCGCGGCATGTGGGATCCTCCCGGACCGGAGCACGAACCCGTGTCCCCTGCATCGGCAGGTGGACTCTCAACCACTGCGCCACCAGGGAAGCCCGATCATGTTAGTTTTTGCCAATTTTATAAAAATTGTACAAAAGACGCTAGACTTATTGTTAATTATTTACACAGTTTCTTGTTGCCCTCTACCTACTCATGGTCCTGTTAACCTGTGTCATTCTTTGCTTTGAGCCGCCTGAGGTCTGAGGCCGGGGGGGAAGCTTGGGGCACTTACCACAGTGCAGCAGAGGGGCCAGAACCACCAGAGGAGAGCCAGGGCCAGAAGCAGGAACAGGATCAGCAGGGCGATCGCCAGGATGGAGCCATCGGACTGCGGGGCCGAGAGAGAGGGCGGTCAGCAGTGGGGCCGGCTGTGCGCGCAACCAGCATGTGAGCTTGGGGGGCAAGGCAATACCTGTGGTCTCTCCCTCCCCGCACTCCCATCCCCAGTATGCAGATTTAAGGCCCAGAGAAGAGCACAGTTTGCCAAGTAAACTGTGCTGCCCAACATTCTGGGCAACACACTCTAGTAGTCAGTTCTCATGAGAAGTGGGTTTGTCTTTTCAGGGAGGCCCCATTCTTCTCTTGGAACAACAGCCTGAAGGACCAATCCTGCAGGAGACAGAGCAGATGGCTGCCTTTGCAGCTGGGCACTGAGATGGCCTACACCGCCATCTGCCTCCGGACCATCACCCTGTGCCCGGTGACAGCCTCCCACTCCCTGGAACTGCTGTTCCCGCCACCCCTTGGGCTGGACTTGGGACAATTCTCAACTCAGCCTGCTTGCCTGAGCCCGTGTCTCGTAGGTGCGTGTAAGAGAGTCACGAGGCAAAGTCTAGAGCCCACTGATGGGATGTGATAAAGGGCAGAGGGATTCCAGGGAGTAGAGGGTGAGGCAGCTTCTGCTGACCCTGGGAGGGGAGGGTTGTGGTGACTGAGTCAACGCTGCTCTCGGGTCCAATGAAGCAGGCACCCAAGACAAATCATGCCCACTTCCAAACATGCCTAGGCCAGTCCCCAAAACAGACAGTTGCCGTGGCCTGACATGATTATTAACTTTCATCAACAGAGATCCCACTCCGTCGGTGTCAGTATTCTGGGGCTGCTGGTTCAAGGGAGCAGATTTAAGTCCCCGCCACCACCCCTTCTTCCCAGCTACCGGGAGTGCAAGTGGGTACAACCTTTGGAACTGGGGGCGAGGGGCAAGTTGTCACAGGTATTAATTGTCATAGGTACCCCTTCTGAATATAGCTGGCAATGCCACTTTTAGCTCCCCCCCCAAAATCAGATATGTTTGCACAGATGATGATGATAAAGGAAAGCAACCTAAATGTTTAACAATTAAGGAATAGTTAATAATACATGGTAGAACCACCAATTACTCTGTAGACATTATATTTACACATAATATTTAAATGACCTGAGAGAACAGCCCTGATATAATGAGTGGACTTATGTTTGCCAAGAGTGAGAGAGAGACTGAGGGCTATTTACTCAAATATTAATGGTGATTTTGCTGGTAGTGGATTTATGGTAATTAAAAAAAAATCTGTCTTTGCCTTTCTTTTTCTTTGTTGAACATTGCACAATGAGAAAGTAAACTATTGAAGTTGTATTTTAAAAATCTGCACGTGGGGCTCCTCCCTATGGTATCAGGGCTCACGTGGCCCTGGGGTTCTCACCCAGGATCAGTGGACCTACGGGGTACACAGATGGGCTCAAGTGGATGGGAGGTGTGACCCTCCCGAAACAACAGTCATGACCTTCAGAGCATGTGTCTTCAGGGGAGACTGTTCACAGCATGATCAGACTTTCAAAGCTGCCCTCTCCCCAACCATTTACAGAGGGGGAGGTTGGATGGCCCGTCCGAGGCTACACAGCAGGTTAATGGCAGAGCTGGGGCGTGACTCACCCCTACTCTGACTGCTCAGTGGGGGCTACTGGAAGCTGTTTAAAGGCAGCTTTTACTCCCTGGAATGTCTTTGACCCAAAAGCCAGGGAACTAAACACTCAGATCCCACCAAGCCAAGGCTTGGGAATGCCAGATTGTCCCCGAGGGAGCTGCACCTCACAAGTGCAGGTGCAGGGCTGGGCAGTGGGTGGGGAGCGGGCACAGCAGCCAGAGGACGCTCTTGGACCCACAACGTTTATGCATGAGCTACGGCAGACGGATGCTCTCCTCGAAGATACAAAGAAATCCCGTGTGTTCTCCAAACTTACTGTTAGTCAAGGACAGCCCCCTTAATCTTTCAGTCTCTACGTTCCATGCCCATAAAATGGAGATACTGAACCTCACCTGCCTCGTTGCATTGATGTGAGGAGAAAATGAACTGTAAGATGTAAGCAGACATGGCTGGACAAGTGGGATGGAAGCTATCATGTCAGACGCTGAGCTGTAACTCATCCTCCCTTTGTTTCCTCATGGCCAGCAAACATGGTGGCCATTTCAGATCATAAGTCTGTTTGCCGTCGGAATAATAAGTGGTTTGGTTACTGCTAGGCTTATAAAACAGTGGTCTTTCAGTATAAGGTTATAATTTAGTAAAGACTGCAGACTGCATTTATTCCCATTATATGCAATCTCCCCTCTCCTCATTTTACTTCCACTCTAGAGAGAGGAACTGAAGCAGAAAGGCTGATATATTGTGGGGAACATTATTTTAATTCCTTCTGGAAAAAGAAGGAATTTTCCTGCGAAGTGGGGAGGGTGGAGGACCGGGACCACAAGGGGAGAGGGGAGGCTTCAGCTCCGGAAGGAGAGTTCCTGGATTCAGACAAAGCTTCATCCGGCCCGTCTCTGACCAGGCTTGGTCTGCCTGGTCCCAGCCCTCCCTTCCGTAGTAAAGGAGGACAGCGTGGGGCTCAGCAGGGGCAAGGTGCAGTGGGGACGCTGGGGGAGTGGAAATGCAGTGGGGCAGACGCTCCTGGAGGGACTGACCCTTGCTCTGGATGCAGCCCCCAGTAAAGCCCCCCAACGCACTGCCTGGTTTTCAAGATCTTCCAGCACCGTTATATACAAACACCCAGTGTAAAAGGGTCACCGTCAGACAAGAGGCATGAATCTCTGATGAACTTAGACATGAAGCTAATGTCCTACAAGTAGGTAACATGTGCATGCAACCTCGGAGGAGGTTCGTTCATGGATTCATTCAGCAAACGTTTACTGAGGGTCCGTCCGGTGCCCATGGAGCAGACCTCAGCGGTAAGGATGGGTCACACAGAACCAAGGTGCTCATGGTCTGATGAGGAATATGTATCGACCGTTACCCACACTCAGGGGCCTGTGTGTTATTCAACAGCTGTACACGCAGCACCTTTAATTAATTAATTTATTTTTGGATAGTTTTTATTTTATTTAAAAAATTTAAAAAAATTTTAACACAATTTTAAAGGTTACTTTCCATTTGCAGTTATAACAAATGGTGAGCTCTATTCCCCGTGTTGTATAGTACATCCTTGAGTCTATCTTACACCCAACAGTTTGAACCTCTCGCTCCCCCAACCCCTCGGTTGCCCCCCCCCCAACCTCCCGCCCGCCACTGGTAACCACTAGTTTGTTCTCTATATCTGTGAGTTTCATGCAGCACCTTTTATGTGCCAGGCAGTGAAAAAAGCAAACAGTCTCTTGAGTCTTAAAGCTTACATTCTGGTGCAATAGTAGTAATGATAGTGATGATAATAATACTTGTTATCAGTATAGCTCATATTTATTGAACACTTACTATGTGCCAGGGACTGTCCTTTCTAAATATGTACTAACATGCTTTCCATGTGTTAGTTCACTTAATATTAACAACCTTATGAATTCAATAATATTGTTTTTTTCCTATCTTACAGAAAAATACTGAGGCAAGGACAGAAGAAGCAACTTGCCCAAGGTCACAGGGAGAAACCAGAATTTAAAACTGGGCCATTTGGTAAGACATGAAAGCAACCTAAATGTCCACTGACAGATGAATGGATAAAGAAGATATGGTACATATATACAATGGAATACTACTCAGCCATAATAAAGAATGAAATAATGACATTTGCAGCAACATGGATGGACCCAGAGATTATCATACTAAACGAAGTAAGTCAGACGGAGAAAGACAAATACCATATGATATCACTTATATGTGGAATCTAAAATATGGCACAAATGAACCTATCTATGAAACAGAAACAGACTCACAGACAGAGAACAGCCTTGTGGTTGCCAAGGGGGAGGGAGGGATGGATTGGTAGTTTAGGATTAGCAGATGCAAACTATTATATAGAGAATGGATAAACAATAAGGTACTACGGTATAGCACAGGGAACTATAGCCAATATCCTGTGATAAACCATAAATGGAGAAGAATATGAAAAGGAATGTATATATGTGTATAACTGAATCACTTTGCTGTATAGCAGAAATTAACATTGTAAATCAACTATATTTCAATAAACTAAATTTTTAACAGAGTTGGGCCATTTGGTTCCACAGCCTACAAGTTCAACCAGCAGGTTACTGCCCTCAGCAAGCACTAAGAACTAAGTGTCTGGAACTAGCACTGAAGAGGTGACACTGGATTCTCGCCCTCAGGGCGAAGGAGAGCTTGGCATTCCTGCACAGAAAGCAAACACAAAGTGCATGGTGTAGGGGTCAAGGAGGCAGGGTCCCCACTGTTGGAGCCCAAGCTGAGGGGCATGGCTTCTATCTTGAGCCTGAGTGGCTTCAACCTGGGGAGACTGTGATCGGACTTGTTTCTTGGGAAGTAAATGCTTTCAATGCATAGAGTATGGACCTGAGGGGAAGACTGGAGGTCGAAGGCCCAGGTGGAAGGCTCCTGCAGTCCCTCCCAGTCTTTTAGGATGACATTTTACAGGGTCACTCCTTCTGAAACTTGCATTTTCATGGATGTCTTTGTACTAATTTTACTAACGATAGCGACTGTTATTGTGTGCTATCTGCATTCCCGGCACTAGGCAAAGTGCTACCTATGCATGAGCTCATTTAATTAAACGAGCCTTGTTAAAGCAGTCTTGTTGCAGGAACTGTTATCCCCTTTTTGAATAAGGAACAAGGAGACTCAGCGAAGGTATGTAACTTACCCAGACCCTTCCTGTACCACTTATGGACATATTTATACGCCCTCAATTTTAATGTTGCAAAACTGGGAATTGAACCTTCACAGTCTGATTTTAGAAGCTTGTCCCCTTCCACTTCATCATTATACTCTAATGCGAGGTTTATAAAAAATTCGCTTAAGAAATATCTATACTTGAAAGACTAAACATAAGGCAGCTACATGAGAGACTGAGACCGTGTTTGTAATCGCTCCATCTGATGGAAGGAAGTTCATCCACACGGCTCCGGGTGGATCAGAGAGTCACATAGTGCAAGTGTATTTCAGAGTGAAGTCCGAAAGGGATGGAGGCCACAGCAGGGCCTGGTTGCCCCTTATGATCTTGAATTGGAATTTCTATCAATTACCTTGTGAAGAGGAATTGACAGCCATGTAAGGATGGCTCTGTGTTACCTGTTGAATGAATATGAGTATGTAGTAGAAATACATACACATCTGCCCTGTTTAGTATCTGCTTCATTCGTGAAATTAGTTCAGCTACTCTAAATGAATCCTTTTGCATTTTCATCTAGTCCCAAGATGAAAAGCCCCTTTGGGTGCTAAGACTCTGCCATGGGCCGGGAGGCATGTGGAATGTTCCACAGCCCACACCATGTAGCCTGGTGGCCCAGAACCTGGCTCTGTCCTCCTGCACTGGTGCAAACTGCCTTGGCTCCTCGGGCTTTGGCCTCCAACCTACCCTCCTGTGTCCCAGCTCACTGACTGCTGGCACACCCTGTGTTACGTGCTGCCTGCTCCCCAAAGCTTCTTCCTGGATCGGAGCTCAGGAGGGTCATGGGCTGACCACTGCTCTCAGCCTGACTCAGGACAAGCGTGTGGACTCGGCCTCTGCTCCTCCCTTCACCAGGGCACAGGGTGGTAGGACTGCAAAGACCCCTGGGCCCACACGGCCTCCACCATGGGGCTGAGCAGGGCCATTTGGGTCAGGGCCTAAATGCGCCTGCCCAGGCTCTGTCTTGGATGGCTAAATGGCAGGAGGTGAGGTGGCTTCCTCACCACGCAGAAGTTCCGAACCAGCCAGCCTCCAGGCTTGGAAGTGGATGCATCCTCCAGGCTCTCTGACGCCGGGGAGGGGAGCCTGAGTGGGGCCTTGCCTGGACTTGACTTTCTGACAAGAAGCGAGAGCAGGAGCTGACCTGCCCAGCAAACTCTGCTCCTGTCCTTGCTGGGCAGCCTCTGCATGGAATTCTCTGGAAGCTTTGAAAGAGATTTCAGAAGGGAAGACAGCAGCAGATAAATAACCAAAGATTGCCTCCTGCCACTGTTATCTTCCCAACAGCCTAGATACCAACACAAGTTAATTTCTTATTTTCTTTAAAAAGTAAAAATAAAGTTTAATAAGTCAACATGGCCCTTTGGTTTAAAATATTTTCAGCAGGAGGTGGGGGGCTTTGGGGTGTGACTAGAGATGAAAGGAAGCGGTGCTAAGGAGGTACATCTTCCAGTTAGGGGAGGGGACATCCATTTTCTTCAATAAGTAGTAGTTTTATGCCTTCTTCCCTATGAACGCTGAGGTATAAGATGCTCACAGAGGCCTGCGGTGGAGCACGCAGACACAGAATATTAAACACGAGGGCAGATGCTCGGGCTGCTCCTTCCTCTGGTCATTCCTTGTTAGGATAAATTTCCCTGAAGCCTGCCTGGTTTGCAAGGCAAATCCCTGCATCATGGCTTTTTATATATATTTTTAAATTTTTATTTATTTATGGCTGTGTTGCGCCTTCGTTTCTGTGCGAGGTCTTTCTCTAGTTGTGGCAAGTGGGGGCCACTCTTCATCGCGGTGCGCAGGCCTCTCACGATCACGGCTTCTCTTGTTGTGGAGCACAGGCTCCAGAAGCGCAGGCTCAGTAGTTGTGGCTCACGGGCCCAGTTGCTCCGCGGCATGTGGGATCCTCCCAGACCGGGGCTCGAACCCGTGTCCTCTGCATCGGCAGGTGGACTCTCAACCACTGCGCCACCAGGGAAGCCCCCATCATGGGTTTTTAAAATGCCTTTGTCCCCGGCTCACCAAACGAGGGCATCTTTCAAGATGAGGAAGCATTGTTTTCAAGAGAATAGATTTGGAAACTTGAATAATGAAAGCATCTCTCACATGGTAGGTTTCTAGTAATTTTGGATTTCTGACGCACGGCAGGCGGGTGAGGGAGCTTGTGTGACAGGAGAGAGGGAGGCCTCTGGGCAACAGAGCATCAAGCATCGCTGTTCCTTCCTGTCTTGTTTTTTTTTATGGTGGATTTTTTTTTTTTTTTTTTTGGCTCTGAACATTTTATGTTTAAAAAAACAGAAAGAAAAGGGGAAAAAAAAAAACTGTCCCCACAAGGGGGAAGGCCCCCAGTGTGCCCCTGCCTGTTGTTCCCCCTGGCTTCAGAGACTTCTGTATAGCCCTTAGCTGCTTGCCGGCCAGGGTAAAGGGAGGAGGGTCAAACTGAGAGGAATGATGGGAAACTGGGGGAAGCTCAACTTAAAGAAACTTGGTGGAATCCCCCATCTCCAAGCTGGGTTTGAACTGGGATTCTTCCTTGTCGTTCAGGCATGGGGTTATTATGTAGCCAATGAAGTGTCTTCAGTTCTGCCTGGAAAACTGTCTCAGTTAAGGAGGGAGCATCCTTCCCCACTCCTGTGTGTAAAACTCCAGGCCTTTCTTCCCCTTTACTCATTCAGTAAACGAGGCCAGAGCACAGCGAACATGGGCCTCTGCTCTCCCCTTCCTATCTGGGGAGCGTGCTGCCCACCGAGAGAGAGCAGAGGCTGTCTTCTTCTGCTCCATGCAGGCTGGTTTTGTGCGGGGCCTGATGCTTGTACGATTTGGGGAGGCCTCTTTAAGAAAAAGAACATAAAAATACAAATGCAAAATAATAAGCACCCCTCCCAGGACCTTAGAAGGCCTAGAAGGGACCCATTCGAATGAGCATCCCTGAAGCTTAAACTTCATCAGCGTTCCCGTAACTCTGCCCCTGGCTGTGAGTCTTCCCTAGACAGGCCCCGTGCCCGCGACGAGGTTGGCAAAGCTGTTGAATCCTGGGCTTCAGTTTCCAGCCCATTTGCTGCCACACTCAGCCTTAGTCTCCAGTCCGCAACAACAAAGGCAATACTGAGGTTTTCATATATGGTTTGAGGGTCTCATTTCTATTTTTTCACATGCTTTTTTGCCCCCAGGACAGTGATCCCTCCAATATCTCTTATTTTAACTTCCCCCAGGATGGACCCTGGTAATTGTAACAATTACATTTTGAAAACAGTGTACAGGAATTATTAACAAAGGGTTAAGGAGAGCCCTCCCTGATGGGCGGTGGGTTTGCTGCAGTTCTAGGATCTAGGCTAGGTTTTGTGGATTCTGAAAATCACCACTGAGTTACTAAAGGTACTCAGATTCTTTCACATGGTTAGATGAGGCCGTCTTTTAAACCTTTAACCTGAAGAATGAATTAGCAGGTTTATTCTGCCACATTGAAGGGCTATTAGCCAAACTCTGCCAAAAATATGACAGGAAAACAGCTGTTGATCCATTAGATATTTTTAAAAGCTGGCAAGGTTGTTTCCCTGGTTTCAGTTGGTAAATGATGATGCCACAGGGCACTCCAGGACGCGACGAGGAGACTTTGCTATGACGTGAGGCTACCCAGTGGTCCCTCTTCCTCTCCTCCCTCCATCCACGGCCCTGTCCCTATTTCTCTGGTATTGAGTGAGAATGTCTTTGAGGCACTGTTGAAAAGCACTCAAGGCAAAGAGGCCCTTCCACTACGGGCAGTTCTGGTCCATGATCTTGTGATCTCATGGCAACTTGCTTGTTCTAAATACCCAAGAGGCCATCTGGGTGAGAGGGGGATGTGCAGACAGAGATTAAGGGACCAAGGACATGCTGACTTTTCCTGCTCAGATGGGAGAACCTGTGAGCAGGCAGAGGACT